AAAAAAAGTGCACTTTTAATGATGCATTTTGCTTTCACCAGTTTAATAATTGCCTTTCTACTAATTATTGTAAAACTAGAAGCGGCAGCCTTTTTATTATTTCTAAACGGTTGTAAAAAAAAAAAATAGTTCTGTGGTTGTTTCTACACGGATTTCATGAAAAGGTAGATCCTGTAAATAGATGATTGGAAATAATCTCTCCAGGCGCACTTATCCGTACACAAAAGAGCAGAGAAGACGGCATTGTGGATCGTATAATGAGACATGCACAATTCACCAGCACCTGCTGTAGAATTCAGGTAATGGAGAGGGAACACGATGCAAAAGCCAGTGAAGCAGATAGCACATGAATAAAGCAGTAGGGAGATGGATGGAAAAGAGTCGCGAGCCCTCCCTCCCCTCTCATTTCCTTCAGAGCAGGTCGGGAGGCATCCTTGGCTTTAATCAGGCTCACCTAAGCATACCTCAGCACTGCTGTGCCTTGATGATGGATGGCCCGGAGCAACACCTGTAATGGCAAGCTCTGCACTATCCTTTTTGTCTGGCAAAGAAGGTGCTCACCTTCAAAAGTATGGCAGTGAACATAGAATGTGATGCAAACAATTGTGGCACATTCTTTGATAATGTTAGATTTTTATGCTAAATATTGCGACCATGAATTATCACATGTTTGTATCTGATGGAGATGATCAGTTTCAGTCAGGGCTTAATTTGCACGCCGATCTATGCCGGAATGCAAATAGCGGACAGACTCGGAAATGCTACTTGAAGGGGCATCTCGTATGCTCATAAGTGGCTGTTGTGTTTAAAATGAGTGTTTATGTAATTAGTTTCAGTGTACATATCCAATATACATTTTATTCCTTCACGGCAGCCATATTTGTTTTTAACTTTATTATTGGTAAGCTCGAGAGTTACCGGATCCAAGCAAACAGTTACTGGAATGCACCCTTTCAAAATAAGAGAGTTCCAGGGCCCTGTTCTGGCAGGATCTGACTCAAACTAAGCACTGGTTTCAGTGTTCCAGAATGATGCCTTCATTTTAGGTCAGGTTCTGTTGAAGAATTAAGGAAGTGATTCATCGGGTTGTGAAAGTTACATAATTTCTATTGGTCAACGTGATTTGTGACAGATTCTCCAAAATGTCTCAAAACCTTGGTGGGAATTCTTAGTTTACTCATTATCCTTATTATTATTATTAACCTTTATTTAACCATCAAATCCCACTGAGATCACAGATCTCTTTTGCAAGAGAGGCCTGGGCCTGAAGGCAGCCTAACATGCATATGATCTCTTGTTTTTAACTACTCGTGTAGCTCAAAGCTTTATCGCTTTAGTTTTGAACATGTAAAAAAAAAAGTGCAACAAATCTCTAAATAATCACAGAGTTGCTGAGGATGTCTCAAGCCCATCTAGATCATTTCTCAGTTTTGTTTCTATAAATTCTAGAGATCTACATTTTGACGCCAGCAGGGAAATGTCCCACAACATCTAAAGCTGCAGTCCAGCATAACCAGGTCTAAAAACTATGTCAATGTTAAATAACAATTATTCAAAAACTGGTTCAGATCTGCTTATTATCATGTCTAAGTTGAACTCCAGCAGAATAAATCATTAATGTGGGGGCAGCTGCCAAGGTGGGAACAAAGCAGGCCAAGGCAGGTATGATGTGAGCAGAGGTGGACAATGAAATAATATGCACGGCTTAAAGTGCACTTTTAAAAGTCAAGCATAAAATGAAAGGTCCCAATTTTCAAAAATCTGCACCCACAATCTGGCTGCACAACTTGTCAGACCCTTGATTGCAAACACTTAAAATTCACTGAGACTGCAATGGAAATTATGTCCGTTTTGTCTCAATTTTTTAGCAACATTAAGGCGCCAGCTCTAACAGTTGCACGTCAGTGCTGTACTGCCTTTATGGACAAATAATATCCTACTAAAATTCTAAATAACGTCAGTTTGGAGAAACTTTATTTTTAATCTGAGTGGACAGCCATTTAAAATAACTCCAATCTAAAAAAAAAACCATCACAGCAGCTCATATAAACACAATTTTAGAAATGTTTGCAATGTTGTCAATTTCATATTGCACAGTTAATCCAGCAGAAATGTTGTAAAAATCCTGCCAAACATACCGAGGCTGCTCTGGAAAGGTTACAGCTAGCTGTACTTGCAAAGACCCAAAGTTAGATTAGCCCAACACTATTTCTCTTAATTGACGTTTTGTTGAAGAGCTATCAACAACAGGTAAGACACTAATTGTTCATAACCTTTTCACTAAACCCACTTTAAGCTTTAAACAGTCCCATGTAAGGCTCTGTATTCCAATCTAAGTAAATACTCTTTCCACTTAAGATGTTTAAAGAGCTCAGTTAAGTATAGACAGCCGAGAAGTGAAAGCTTTCGAAGCATTTCTGACATTTTGGGTGATTTACCACAAAGAACTAAAGCATGTTTAATTTGTTTCCGCCTGTGGAATGACATCATGTAAGACTGATTTAAAGCCGTCTTCCATCTCAGCCCTCTACAATTTATTTTACAACACATTTGCCACAAGTGCCAAAGGGGCAGCTTAATCTATTCACACTTTTTTTTTTCATGCTGCATGTCTTCAAGGGCCATTGCCCTGGAGAGCTGCTTTTGTAATAGTAATAAATAATGTATGATTAATATGACTGATTAAACAGGGAATCGTCTCTCTGTGGGCAACACTACTAGCAGAATAACAAAGATTACCTTGGAGCTTTCCGCTCTTGTCACACCATTGTCTGACAAAGAGTTCGACAGCCACTCCAGATCAAAGAGCTCTTTCATGAAGCGCATCTTTGTACGTTTAGTTTTATTCAGGTTGAAAGTCTTGGCAGAGGTACAAGATGTGAAGTCTCTTTGGAAGTGAAGCGTCTCAGGTAGGCTGTGCTGCGTTTCTGCTATACATCTCTATTTTTCAGCACATTCCTGCAGGAGTTCATAAAACTGTCACACAATGCAATTTATTGATTTGTGTCCTAGAACGTGAGTTTTTGTGCACGTGCGTGGATGGACAGGAAAATGGCTAGATGAACAGGAGTTCAGGTTTTGCACACATACAGCTCAGTCAAAGAAATTGCACCCACTGTTTTTCGTTTGTCTGCTCCCTTCTGCAGAGGTTGTCACAGTGAGCAAACTGGCATTAAGATTTGGCAGCTGCTTTTATGCTGGATGCCCTGGGTTTGAACCTGCAGCCTGAGCAGCACTGAACACTGTGCCATGCAGCCCCACAGAAACTGTATGTGTAAGCTATGACATGAAACTATATACACATATATATAATATACTGTATATAATTTATTTGTTTAGTTTTCTTTCTTCTTTTGGTTGCTCCCTTCTTCAGGGGTCACCACAGCGAACTAACTCGAAGGAAGAGATTGAATTGGTTTTATGTTGGATGCCCTTCCTGACACAACCACAGACCACAGAGCTGCCACAGCCCTCTGTGTGGAGCAGAAAGCTGCCATCTAGGCAGAATGGGGTAGCAGATGGTGGGGGTTAAGGGCCTTGCTCAAGCAGCCAGAGTGGGGAAAATGAGGGTGGAAGCTTCACCTTTCCCACCCACATTATGATGTTCTCGAACCAGCAACTGTCTTATCACAGGCCCGCCTTTAACCTCTGCACCACCACTCCCCCAAAACAATATATACTGTGTGTGTTTAAATATATCGTGTTTTTTCACAATGAGATTTGGCATGACACACAATTGGCTGATTGATGAATGAGCCGCACGATCGGCATAGAATTTTTATTTAAAATAAATTATTTTAAATTATTCAACACCTGTGTGCAGTGCAGTCCACAACTGCAGAAAAAAAAAGCTTCCTCCTGCAGCTGATCAGCTGATCTCCAATCTGCAGCGGAGAAGTGGGCGTGGCCAAGAGCGCTTGCAGGTGACAAAGAGCAGACGAGGCAGGGAGCTGAAATCATGACATTCTGTGTTCTTTTAGAGCGTTTAGACTTTAGAAAC